CCTGCTGGGATTTAGTGGCGATTGGAATTATATTTGGGAACATTTGGTGGTCAGGGCTGAAGTATCTTTCATTAGTTTTGGAAGTATGCTCCTCAGAATGCAAATAATCAGAATCAAAATACAGGCAGGCTGTGAAGAGACACCCGGTAACACAGCCTCGTGTTATAGTTTTTTATCTTTATAACTCTGGTGTGATGCAGCAGGTCAATGCTTCCCGTTAAAAAGGACGACAGCTGCAGCTACATAAGCTGGTGAGACGAGTAAAGAGAGCCATGCCTGTGCTTTGCTCGTTTTCTCTTTCCTGTCATTATGCCTACAGTAGAAAGAAAGAAAGGAGTGTGACCAGAAGAGGTGAAGCACAAGTGATTTATGGTGCCCTGACAGGCCAAGACTTGGAATGTTAATTGACACCCTGCTCTCATCGTGAGAAGAAGCAGATCAGACTGGTACATGGCAGCGAAACGCCAAGACAAAGAAGACTTCCGCTGGTGCCGCTCCCCCCTTCCTTCAGATTCATAGCTCTTCTAAGATTACACACTTTGCCTGTGAGCGACGAAGCCGAGTCGAAGAGGACTCGTGAGCTCGTGTCCTTCCAGTCGACCTCATTCATATTTCTGAGCCGCTCTCCTCCTGAATTCTTTTCCACAAGATGACATTTTTAAAGCTCGATTTTAGCCAGAAAATGAGAAGAATGTTGAAAATTTAGAGGTTCTTTTTTCAGACGCTGATAAGTGCTTGTTTTCTGGTTTGTGTCTTTTTGGCGTTGAGCTTCCTGCATTCCTCGCTGGTGTCGAAACAATTTGTCCTACATGAGAACGCAGAATCAAGCAGCTTGGATGGGAGAAAAAAAACTCTTTTCTAATCACTTTGCTGCACCTTTTTAAAACTGTTTGAAGTTAATTTTCAAATCGCCTTCAGCCAGTCGTGCTGCTCTCATCCGGTGGCCTGAATCTCACTGGAAGGAAGTCCAGAAAGCAACAAGATGCTTGATTACGTGGCTGCTCTTTGAAGTTAAATGTGAGATGCATCAACACAGCGATGGTCCAAGTGCTGTAAACATCAGTTTCGACCAGCACACGCCTGCTTTTCTTCAAGCATTCATAAAGTGACAGTGCAGAGGAAGCTAACAGGGTTTCACAGAGAACTTGTGATGGTGGTTAGAAGCCTGTGAAGGCCTGAACCTTTAGCACCAGGAGCTTCAGCGTTCCACCTGTAGAAAGTGCTGCGATGTGCTTCGTCTCCACGGCGCTGGGAGCCTGAAGCAGCGCTATGATTTGTTGCAGAGATTTGGAGGCTATTTACATTCGTGCGGGCTTCTTTGTGGACGCTGACTTCCTCATACGATGCTGAGGTTTGGGCTGTTAATTGCAGCTGTTAGTTGTTGGGAATATAAATCAGATTTTTCACATAGTTGGTGGACTTTGGTGGGTTTATTTTTTTGTTTCACAGGGTTNAGAGACATAAATCTGAGCATCAGCTGCCTCTGAATGCTTCCCGTCAGCACCGGCCTCTTCAGCCGTTTGAAATACAAATGACCACAGTGGAGCCAACCACACATGGATGGTTTACATTACAACTCAACACGAAGGTCGCACATACCCCCGAGCTTCCCAGCCTCTCACCTCAGTGCACACACCGGGGCCACATTACCACCGACATTTGCTCATTACCACATGCACACATTTGTATGTATAATATAAACAACTTACAGATGTCTCCCCACTACGCTGATTTGTGAAAATCTAGCTGCCATGTGTTTTAGTTTCTACGGTGAGTATTAGCGCCGTGTGGTTTCAGGCCTGTTCAAGGTAGAAGAAATTAGAATTCAGAGCGATCTTTATCTGACTTTAACCCGGACTGTCCATGCTTAACGCGGCTTCCGGGTAATTTGCAATTCATCTGTGCAAACAGCTCCATGTACCTTGGACCTGCTTCTTAATGCCCCGTCCTTATCAGGCAGCCATAAATCTGACAAGGCACACGGAAATACTTTCTCAGGCCCGGTCCTGAACACGGAGGGATCAAAGGATTTTGGGTGGGGGGTTATTTACAGGAGATGGCTGGACTAACAGATGAGCCCATGTCCAGTTCTCACATGCGCTGGCCCGGGCCACACTTGTTGCGCTGTGGTTGTGTTGGTGGAAACAATGGCCCTGCTGTTAGCCTGTGGTTGTGTTACACCTGTGCTTCCCCCAAAGACACACGTTACCTCAGCCTGCCCACCAACCACACAACCCGATCCACTGCAGATCTCAGTTTACATCCTGCAGTAACTTTTAGTGCCGCACTACAAAGAACAATGCACATTCAACGGCCTTACAAGGTCAGATAATGAAGGCACGTCTTATCGGTTCATATCGACGCTGAAATATCAAAGGTTGGATCCTTTCCCCGTCCTAGCTCCACAAACCTGAGCCCACAGACCCTCCCCTGCTCTCCTTGAGGACGAGGTGTGAGAAGCGAGAGGCGGCGTGAAGGCAGCTGTGGGGGGATGGAGTGGGTGGAGAGAGAGAGCGGGCGGTTGGATTTTAGGGGTTCAAAAGCTCACAGAGAGAGCCTCGGCGTTCTTCTGCGGTTTAAGGGGGCCTTTGTGAAACTGGAGTCCCCAGAAGGCACGGGGGGCAGGGTGAAGGGAGGGCGGGAGGGCGGTGTGGGGGTCTGGGACACAGCAGAAGCCCACCTCCTTTCTCGCAGTGTCAGCGTCACAGGTGTGTGAACAACAATGCATGTGTGTGTCTGAGAGAGCCCCACGTCCAATCAATGACACACTGTATTGTAATCACGCACTGTGGGGACAAGCCTGCTGCTCAAAGGTAAACACAATTGGGAATAAACTCTTAGGTAGCAGGTACAGCCCTCGGACCGGAGCTCTGGTTTCCATGACTGGAGGGGAAAGGACCGGGAAGCAAGATGTAAAGCACAGCGCCTCCTTATCGCTTCTATAGCCGTTGCTCCACACTTCGCCATAGTAACACCGGGCAACAAACAATGAGAGCAAGTCCGATAAAGCTGGACAGTGAATTCCACTCGGCAGCAGTTGCTAGGTAAAGGACTTTTCCTAATGCCCCATATTCATACTGGACTCCCCCTCTCCCACTCCCACACACCCTCCTGAGACTGAAAAAACAGATTAAACCTTTTTTTTGTTCATAACTTGACCGGTGCCTATCTGTGGGGTTGACAGGCCGCTGCATTTTTGGGATATTTCCCATAAATTATGATGGGCTATCAGTGGGCCAGCTGTACTCTTGAATTCTGGTATTCATGGTTGCTATTATGCTTATATGAATACATCTCTCTCCGCCTGTCACCACGATTCTGCTCCTGTATGAGGGGAAGCTCGGAACAAAGAGACGTCAAGTAAAGCGACTCCCGCTCCCTCCGCGGGCCCATTCAGCGGGGCAAATAATTCTAAATCAATACCTCCATGTAAATGATTCTGGTGCCCCGCCGGCTGCCTGATAGCAGGTAGGCAACACTGGAGATAGCCTTCTGGTGCCTTCAAGTGCTCCCCGGAAACCAGGATTCTTTGTGGCTGCTTAGTTAATACCTAAACTTTGCTGTCAAGACAAATCAGTGCTGATTCAGGCTACAATTAATGATTTTATTTCAATTAAAGAACAAAGAGTTTGGCGTATGAAATGTCAGAAAATTGGAAAAAAAACTAAAATTCTAATTTAGTTTAATGATGGAAAAAAGATCAAATTGTCACATTTCAGAAAATAGAACCAATAAATATTTGACATTGATGATTATTTTGTTGCCTTACCATTTGAAGGGCCTTCTACACCAATAAAAACAAATTGAGCTGAACTGAATATTGGTTGCACTGATACATTATTTAGCCATTATTAGAACTGTTGGATCAGTTATAAAATCAATACAGCAGCCCACTAGCTGTCACGACTTCCCAACATGCCTCTTAATTCTTCTGAACAATGACATATTCTGCATGTTGCCTTAATGCAGCTTCCTCAGGGCTTCATGGATGCACCACAGTGAGGTAGAAAACAACACGTCTTCAGTGAATACGTACGATCATTTTTGTTTCAGAACAATAGTTAAGTCAGCATTATTTATTATATTAGCATATTTTAAACAGCAGCTGTTGTGCTTTCTGGTACACAAATATGATTGGTGTTGCAAATGAACCTGTATGTAAAACACAACTTTTTCCGTCTATAATACACATTATGGCCAAGACCCTCAAGTATTATGAATTAAGGAGGTTGTTCTGACACATTTTGAACTAAAGTTATGAAGTTAAAGTCACTCTACTGTTTTTATGTGCATTTTTTTTGAAAATTGTTTGCTTTTACTTAAAAAAAACAAAAACAAAATATATATATGAAGAGTTCATTAGCAAAAAACAGAAAACTCAATTTTTGTAGATTTTCAGAAAACTTATTTTTGTTGTTGTTTGCTTGAGATAAAATCAAACAGAAGTTAAGTGGATCTGTAGACGATGGAAAAGTGGGTTTTCTGAAGGTTTGTGGAGCTGGAGTTATCTGTTTTTACAAATGAACTCTTCATATTTATCTTTATATTTATATTTACAGAAAGTTTTCTATAAAGTTGTTTAAACAAAGTCCAGGTCGGTGCTGATCACCTCTGGATCTGATGACCTACAGGCCGGTTATTTAGACACAGACACGGTTGCTGTAATTTTTTTATCAGTAAACATGCACCAGGCTGTAGCTGGCAGGTTCAGCTTGTGTTTGTGACTCGTTCCTGTTCCTTCCAAATGCCAAAAGTGCGTAAAATTGCGAAACGTCCAAAAGTCCCTCAAGGTTCCAAAAGTTTCTCAGGCGGTGCAACACCCTCCTTCATCCCCACCCCTCAGCATACAGCATACACCACGCACACCCACCCAGCTCCCAACTGCACACACACACACACACACACACACACACACACACACACATTCCAGCGGGCGGAGTCCGTGACGCGCCGCTGGTTTGTGAATGAGCTGCAGAGCGCAGCGCACCTCAGAGTTCCAGCGACAGCCAGCAGCGGAGAGAGCGAGCAAAAGTTTCCCAAATGGAGTTCTTTGGTGGAGTCAGACATTTATTATTTTCATATGTACTTATCAACGGCATATTCATTACATTACAGACTAAAGAAGGTGAGTGACTTAGAAATTATTATTATTTTTTTAAATCGTAAAGCTGTTTGAAATGTGTTTGGGTTTTGGTGAAGGCGAGCCCTCGTGCCACGCGGGGAGCCTCCTTGAGGAAACTTTAAAACCAGGAAACAAACATTCTTTCTTAGAACTCGTATTTTCTGAACACCTGGATGCCTCAGATGCCTCCCTGCTGGATGTTTTATGTGATTGTTAGTGAGTTGCTGCGTGTGCGCTCCTCTCAGGCTTCTAACACCAGCAGGTGAATTCTCCAGAAAGTCTGTTGAGTAAAGTTCCTTGATGACATGCGTGGATCACTCTGTAATCTCTGCTTTTCTCTGTTTTAGTGGTTTTCATTCTACACATAATGTTAATTTTCCACCCATTAGTTTAAGTTGCTGCTGCAGAAGTTAACCAAAGTTTGCTCTCATGTGGCAAATAAAGAAAACTCATAAAAACTTGTGTTAAACTATAAACTGTTACACTAAATGTGATTAATTAGCAAATTGCAGCTCATTGTCATTTGTAAATGTCTTTCCATTTCTAAATAGCAGCGGTCAGATTGCTGCCTGCTGTCAAATCCTTCCTGCTTGTATCCTGGTTGACTGACGCTGTTCTCATGTCTCCACAGAGGTGCTTCTGGACATGAGGGCAACAGGAGGTGAACTGGGCTGGCTGACATGGCCCTTAGATCAGGGGGACAAGCCTGGGGTGAGTACTGCTCACTCTGCTCCTCCAGCTCCCACGTTTCCTCTTGGAATTTGCCTTTAGGATGTATCAGCATGGAGAGAAGGGCCCGGCTCAAGTGAGAGCCTCCGGTGCAAAATATTTGACCATTTGACTTGTGTGGTTAGCGTCTGAGTGGGCCCAGTGTGTGTACGTACATGTCAGGTTGCTATAAAACCTGGCAGGGTGAGCCTAATGGTTGCCGGGTCTGGATATGGGAAGGAGTCGCGGGATCCTGTGAGGAGTTGCCTGCAGAGCATGTCTGGGCTACACCAAAGCTCAGGCAGACAGAATAGCTGCTAGCTCTGAACTGGGAATACTTGTGGTTTCTTGCGGTTTCAAGGCCTCGGCTCCAGAATTGTATGTTAGAGAGCAATTAACTTTTAAAGTTTGCAGCATGTGGTACCTCTTTTTGGAGAGGAGGGGCTGTGGATGGGGCCAATCAGCCGGAGCTACCTTTTCCTTAAATCAGGGGAAAATTTCTCCATTTAGCGATGCATCCAGAGAATACATTAATACACCCGAATGCTGCGGTTATCTCTTTGCCAGTGCAGCAGAGACATGTGTGCCTTCCTCCGTACTGCGGTTTCAGAGTAATTGACCAGTCAGGCTCATGCAAATTCACTGTAAATAGCCTCATTTCATGTGCTGATGACTCAAAGGCATGTGAAGGCTTGCTTTACAGCGGCTCACCCAACATTCTCAAAGAGGTTTCACTGCTTAAATAATCCCTTTGACACTTAAGTTTCTCTTTTTCACTAATCAGCCTCAGGTGTTGCTCTGTGTTTTTTAAAAGTTTGTTGGAAACATTTTCACTGCGAGCTCGTTCTCATGTAACCACCATCATGATAATTGATATTTTAAGATTTAAAGGCCCCCTCATAAAAAGTGTTCACCAGCTGTTTAATAGAGGTGTTGGTTCTGCTGTTGTACACCCAGTTTATAAGCAAAACCACACACTCGGCCAACAAAGCACATTCCTTTAATTAATAGCACAGTGGCTACATGCAGGGAGCAAACCGCAGCCTCTGGCCCTGTGGGGACCAGTTGTTCCTCGTCAGCCAAGCTTATGTTAAAACTTGCTGTCACTTTTTTTTTTTTTTTTAAATATTTGCGGCAGCATTTAGTATGTAAGCAGCAAAGCTATTTGGGGAAGATGCCAGCAGTAGCGAGAGAATCTGAAAGACTGACTTGGAAATAATTTGGTATCTTTGCAATGTCAGAAATGCTTCCTCAGCAGAAGGCCCTGAGGTTTGCTGCCTTGTTGTGCTGAGAAGGCTCGTATAGAGGAATCCTCTGCTCTCTGCACCACAAATGTTTTATTGCTGTAGAGCATAGCTAGAATATTAGGAGGGAGTAATGAGCAATGTGTGGAAGTACGAGGTCTCTTATCCACGCCGTTGTTTTCATGTTCAGCTCACAGCGGCTGAACCTTCATGTGACCGTGTCCCTTGAAACGGGTTTGGTTCTGCCCGGCGTGGTCGGAGCTCCCCGACGGTCCGTGTTTGTATCGCTAACCTTTGTGCGCTTTTTGTTTTCAGTGGGAGGTCGTCCAGAGGACTCTGAATGGCTCTCAGTTCTACACCTACTCTGTCTGCAACGTTGGAGAGCGTGAGCAGGACAACTGGCTGCGCACCACCTTCATCCAGCGGCGTCCGTCCGCCTCGCGGGTTTTTGTGGAACTTCAGTTTATCGTACGCGACTGCAACTCGTTCGATGGAGCCTCGCTGACCTGCAAGGAAACCTTCAACCTCTTCACGTCTGAGTCGGACGCAGATGTGGGCACCACCTTCCGCAAGGGCCAGTTTAAAAAGGTGGCCACCATCGCCCCGGATGAGATCACCAGCAAAAATGAGCTGCGCATCAACAAGGAGACGCGGGTCGTGGAGAACCTGTCTCGAAAAGGCTTCTACTTGGCCTTCCAGGACATCGGAGCCTGCGTCGCTCTCCTCTCCGTCAGGGTCTATTATAAAACGTGCCCGGCCACAGTGAAGAGCCTTGCGTTGTTCCCTGAGACCGTGGCTGGAGGAGAGAATGGAGGGCTGCTGAAGGTGACCGGGGTGTGCGTGGATAACGCCGTCAGCAAGGAGCTGCCTTGCATCTACTGCACCCTGGACGGGGAGTGGGTGGTGCCGGTCGGGCAGTGCCAGTGCAAACCTGGCTACGAAGAGGCTGAAGACGGTTGTCAAGGTAAAAGCATGCTGTTGAATCTTTGGTACTTGTAGAACTATTTCTAGCATCAGAAAGAATCTGAGCCCTGTGATTTTTGCTCCTCTAACATTTTTATTCACATATTTCTCTGTGATGCAGAGTCATGCACCTCTATGGGACCAACAGCACAACAAGGACTAGAGAAAGATTAAAAGTGAAAAAACTGAAGCTCTACATACAATAGATATCTTGCTGCTTACACTTTAACTTAGTTCTAATTCCTTCCTCTTCTGCCTGCAGAAAGTCTCAGTATTTCTGTGGCTGTTGATCACAGCTGATTTCTTTGTGGTTCCACCGACAAGCACAAAATTTACTTTTCTATTTTTACAGAGTCTGGATAGATCAAACTATTTAGTTCTGGCATTTTTTTAAAGGACACATTCTTCGGTATCATGTCCCAATGAAGCAACATGCTGCAGATTAGTGTTTCAAGCACCAATGGAAAGTTAAAAACCTGTTGATTCTTCCTGTTTATTTCACTTTCTGGCTGGTAAATGGTGGGATTTTTATTTTATTTAAAGCCCTCAGGCATTATCTGGGGTTCAGAGCGTTAAAGGGACTATTTGCCTTTATTTTAAATTGCCGTAGTTTGTAAAACGGGCCCGTTTGGCGTACTGTGGGTATTTATCGTAGGTGTTATTAGCATTGTTGGGTGGAATTCTCCCCCTGGCTAACGTGGCTCCACTGCAATGGAAGGAATGCTTAGGCCCTCATTTGTACATGTCCTGGCATCATCCCTGACCTTGAACCGATACCTATAAAATTAGGAAACGCGCTGTTGAGTTTCAGCGCTGATTTTTGACGTATGCACTTGTATGCAAAGGTTCACACGAGCACGATTTGCTTATTCCAGAAATTTCGGCACTTTTTGTGTGAACAAGGCTCAAGTTTGGCAATTTAGGAAACATTTGTGGAAATGCTCAGAGATCACATTCAGAATACACGTGTGATTCTTAAACCCAAAGTGAGCATGGTGATTTTTTATTTTTTTATTTATTTTAAACTCATTCGGTAGGACGACATGTGTGCAGATCTTCTTTACGGTGTCTCATTGTGGTCTCACTCATAACCAGCTGTGAAATGACTCATTCAAAATGCTGTTTAATGGACGTCTTGCTCAAGCACTTCACCTTTCACACCCGTTCTCATAGTTCAGAACTCATCGGGAGATCTCCTGCTCTCTAATTATCATCTGTCTTTGTATCGCGGCGCTATGTGGTCCAACCATAACTTAGGCTTTGTAGCTACGCTGAAGTTATGTTTAAGTCCTGCAAAGAAGGCTTTTATTGTTGTGGAGAGGCCTGTCAGAGTGACTGAGAGTGATCAAAGCCACCGCGAGGCTACTGTACTGTGATGGATTAGCATCTTTAAGGCCGATGGGAGGAAGAGGGAGGAGGAGGAGGACGGAGGAGGAAGCTTCTGAGCCTCGCTGACTTTGTTCATATCAAGCATCACAGAGAGCAGAGGCCCTCCTCTGGTGAGCGGGCATGTTCTCCCGTCTGCATCCATCTCTCGCTCCTGCCTCCTCTGAGTTTCTGAGGGTGTGTATGTGAACATGCAGCCGGCAAGCAAGGACCTGTTGAGATCTGCTCCATGACAAAACACCTAAAGACTCCAATCAGCCCCGAGTGCTCGTCCTCCTCTGCTGCCTCTCCTGAATCTCTTTGTCATGGCCTAAAATATGCACGACTCGAAACGTACACGGGTATCAGTTGATGGCACTAAAACACACACGCCTTGGACTGCGGTTGTAAAATTCACATGCAGCCTGCTTTTAATAGATCCGATTTCACGCTTGGGCTCCCTCCCATTGGCAACAGACCGATCAGAGTGATGAAGCTTCCTGTCAGTGCATCGCTCACATGTGGGAAAGTTCCAGGTAGGACGACCGGGGAGGAGGCAGGAGGAGCGAGAGGTTGTGTTTAGAGGAGGGGTGTGAATTTAAAACGGAGAGAGGTGAGGAGCGGAATGCAAAGGTAGGAGAACAATGAGGCGCTGTGTTTCCTCGCGAGGTCGGCGGAGCCCACCTCCACCTTCTCTCCCCCCGCCCCCCGTTGGTTGGTACATTCCTGATCAGTTTGCCGAGGAGGAGCCTCCCAACATTACTCCAGACTTGTGGAATTCCCAGGAGGGGGGAGGAGAGCTGCTCCAGGTCAAGCGCTCACATAAAAACGACTAAACAAAGAAACCCCCCCTCCAAAAAAAAAAAACTACCAGGATGGAGTCAAATGAGAGGCTGGAGATGTATGAGGGCAGCTCCAGATGAAGGTGGAAATGAATCACAGGGCTGCAGCGTGGGGCCAAGATGAATGGCTCCGAGGGCTTAAAGTGGAATATCCTACCGACACGCACTTAATCATTGTCCCCGTGTCTTTCCTGTACAGAGCGCTGTTTGGGGAGAAACCACAACACTTCAATTATGGAGTTTTTTTTTCTTACTTAGGTTGAAAGTTTCCATGTTCAGCGATGTGTTCACTCGGTTTTATGACTCCTCGACCCTTTGGGACCTGTTAAAAGTAGAAATCTGTGACTTCATCTGGTTTTTGTCTCCGTCTCTTCATCAGCTCTTACCGCGGTGGTGTTTTTGGCTGAGAGATCCGTCAAACTCTACGTCTATAGGATCTTTTTTTTCCCCGTCAAACCTCTATTGACATTTCTGCATGTGGCACTTTCCCTCGATGGTCATCATACTAACTGCAGAACAGACAAATAAACGCCAAAGACAGAACAATTCGCTCTCTGTGCTGTGGAGGCCTTCAGAGCAGCTCACCAACTAACTGGTTATAAATCATTTTAGTCGGCAGTAGCACGGCACAAAATGGGCTTTTGTTGTTTGTGAAAGCTTTACAGATTCTTGTAAAGGAGAATTATGTTGGCTTTCAAAATACAGCATCAATCATACAGTGGATCAGAAACGCATTGAAACGCGGCGATAAACGCTGTCACAGTTTATATACAGTCACAGTCCGCACAAGACGGATGGAGGCCCGAAGAAGACTTTATTTGTCCAGTTAAATACTTTTTTGTTTCCTCTCTCGCTGCTGTACCAACGGGCATTTCTGAATGTTTTAAAAACCTTAATTTGAACAGTAAACGCAGTATTTTATTTACATTTGGCGTCTGTCTCAGAAAAAAGTTTTGCTTTTTAGCGATATCTGGCTGGCATTTCCACTCATGACTCTCTGTTGTCACTGACATAAGTTCCCTTTTTTATTTTATTTATTTGGTAGAAATGTTTGAGAACCGGTTCATGACCTGGCCAAGAGGCGCCGGCAGGAACAAACGCACATGTAAATGACAGACACACACAGACACATAAACATGACGTGGAACAAAAATAAACAAGTAGGAAGCATGGAGGCATGTGAGTGAAGAAAGATGTGCATGAGGTCCAGGAAAGTGTGTGTATAGGTATGTAAATAAAGTCCGGCGTGATCAGCAGCAGCAACAGTCTGTTGGATTTTAGGCTTGAAGGTGGTGAGCAGAGTTGAGTGTTTTGTTAGTTGTTCCTGTCTTTAGCTGCTGCAAAGGACTTCTGATGATGAGCTTGATGTATTCACTAGACCTAGTATGATCAGAGTCATGGGCTCCCTTCCTGACCCATAATCCCCCCCCGACACAATGAACCCCATGTGTCACCTCTTTAAGGACCCCTGGCTGCCCCGGCTGCTCCTCGGGTTCATCAGCTGCTCTAAAGCCTCGACAAATAGGCCTTAATCCCACACTTTGGTCAACACGAGGCTGTTTTTTTCTTAAAGGGGAGAGACAATGTGGAATATTTGCACCGCCGAGGACAGTTTGTGTCTCGGAGAAAATGACATCTCGACGGAACAACTGTCCGCCGAGTTCCAGTAAAATTATTCCACCTCTCGCCAAAGAGCTTCCAGTAAACTATTTTCTCTCTCCCCCTCCTTCCTTCCTTGCTTCCTTCCCTCCGTGTCTCCAAGCTCATCCTCAGCTGATGTAACAAGCAGTTGGTGACTAAGACGCAGTGTGACTGCGTGCTGCGGTGAGCCATTTGTACGGGTAGTAATTGACTTGGGTGTGTTTGGGCTTTTTAAGCAGAGTAACTACTGGTTCTGCTTGCTTTTTTGCCTTTGTGCAATCTCTTTCGCCGTCCTCTACCTAAGTCCCCACATCCTCAGAAGAGTCTCTATTTTAGCCTCCGCCTCTCATCTTGTATTTATTTGATAGTTTCTTATCTTAACAGATTGTGCAGCGCTGGATGCTGGTTTGCTCCACGCTGTCCCAAGAACAACAAACTGACAGGCAAACAAAAAGTTTTTCCTTGGCGTGTTGTGTTCATGTTGTCCGTGAAATCACAGGGCGACTGTTATTTTTGGCCGGAGTGCACGCCACGAATGTGACACCAATAGAGTTTAAACATCCCGTTTCACACGGCCCTGATGGGACTATTTAGACTGAGCACCGTTCTTGTCTTACTCACCGATAAATACATTTCTCCGAGTCTGACTCGTAAAGATAAATAGAGGGTAAATTGGAACAATGCTACCAATCAGAGAGTTTTAAGTGAAGAGGGAGAGAAAACGATCTGTGCTGTTCACATGGTGGTTAAGGCGCTGGTGGAGGTAAAAGCTAAACCTTAGCTGTGAGATTTTGCTTTTGTTGATGAGCATAATAATGGAAGTTAGGCTTCGGCTGCCTGCTTTTTTCAAAAGTCACCTCCCAAATTGCCACAACTCAAATGTTTCCTGGCCAGGATTCAGTCTCTAAATGTACCTGGAGCCAACTGGTTCATCATCATCACCCTTTTGCAATTGTACGTTATCTGACGATGAGTGTACAAAGAGATGTGAACACGGCACCACTTCTCGTCCTCCGAGGGATTACATTTGGTCGGCTTAAGGTGGATTTCACATAATGGAATCATCTCACTCCTGCAGGATAATCCCCACATGGAAATTTTCTGCTCTACCAAATTTCCTTGACTCTTTGCTCCCTATTGCCGATCTCAGAGA